TAGACGCGTGCGGCTACCGTAAATTTCGCGAGAGTGCGTTCACCTCCTCGATTTCGTCGCTTCACGGACGCTCGAACGGCGAGCCGCTAATTACCCTATATCGAACTCTATCGGGGATCATTCGGGGACCGAGGGGAACATGCGCGCGGAACCTGCCCTTTCATCTTGCCGATCACTCCGAGGCGCTTCTACGGTGGTACGATGCGGAGGATCGGCGTGAAACACCGGATGGATTATCGTGCGAAGCTGTGCCGGACACCAACGACAAACGCGACCCGCTATCGATTCTAGCGAGAGAAAAAAGAATGCGCGGAGGGAAACGGAGATAGGAATAGTGGATGGATATCGGGATTCGGATGAAACGTGATTCGGGACACGTGGCACCAACTATGTAGAGCATGTAGAGCATGCACGTATACATACACGTAGATAGAAATGTGCAGTTTGCGCGCGAACCACAACACTCGCGAGGAGGAGAGCACCAGGACGGTATCGACGCGAGTCTATTTCGCAACGTACTCTGTTTACGCAGCAACGACTCGTCGTGGCTGAGGAGTCAGAGAGCTCTGACCATTTCTTCTTATTCACCTCGAGATATTCCATCGATCGATCGCGTTACCGCACACGTACCTTCTCGTTCGCGTAAACACCTCGGAGAATCGGAAAGATCCGTGAGCCAGCGTCGTGGACGGACAGCCGTTCTCTTCGATATGGCGTGGCTCGATGTGAAATTGGACAAATCGACGTGAACGTCGACCGGACCAAGCCAACTACCGCTCTCTTTCTCCTAGACAGATCGGTCGGAGCACGTTGGTTACGGAAGGTACACACACAAGAAGCACCGTCGCGAGCTGTCAAACTCACACGCAGACGACCGACTGGCAGACGGTCGAGGACTGAGTAGGGCAGCCGATTGCTCGTGGATTCCCTCTTCTATCTCTCTCTTTCGCCCCTTCCCGCCGCCGGTCCGCGCTCGCTCCCACCCGTCTCCCGCGCCGTTCCTTCCACTCTTTCTCGCTCGCTTTTCTTTCCTTCTTACTGTAACGCGGCATCTCCCCCCAGCCGACCGGCGGCGCCCTTCTCCTCCCGGCGGAGGAGGTCTCTCTTTTCGTCCATCTGCCACCTTCGCGATATCGTGAAGCGTGCGCGGACGAGGGAAGGGGAAGCCACGAGGTCGGAAAACACGGAAATTACGGGCTGAAAAGATGGCCCATTATCGAGCGTAAGTGGATCGAGCACGATTCACCCAATCTCCGTCCTCCCTTCCTTCTTTCCAACGAGTAACTAGTATTCAGCCCGACTGTTCATCTACGACGACGACGGAAAATTGTCGCGCGACTATAAAACCGTGTTGTACTTTTCGCCAAAAGCTTTGAACGTGGCGCGCTCTCATGGCAACGAGACGAGGCAGCACTACCGTCTCATAAAATGGCTGACTCTCTTGTTCCTCCTCTTAGACTTGGCCTCTATTTCGCTACTCTAGCCGGGGAACGGTTCTTGTTTCCCTCGAAAGAGCTCGATCGAGCGAAAGTCAATGTCGAGGTGAATTTCGTTCTACACCCTGCTCTCAACGAGGCGAGTACCTAATTTTCCAAAGGGTTCTCGCCCTACCGTCCCGCGGGCAATTGCACAAGGAGAAGGAGGAGAAGAATTACAGCTATAACGATTACAGGCATAGCCGTGCAAAGTGGCCGCGTGACGTTCACGTGGAGGATGGATGCCAGTGCTCGAATACGAATACAGGATTGCGCGATATCGATACCGCGAATCGAAAGCCACACAGGGTAACGCTGACTCCTTGAAATATCGCAGACGTGTAAAATTGTCGTGACGACGCTGGCGCATGCAAATAGAAAATAGAAATGAGTTTAGAAATAGCGTGGCCAGTCGTCGGCCTAGAATTCGATCGGTCGTAGCCCATCGCGACACTGTTTCGGCTTACTTGGAACGCGTCGCGTCTCTCTACTCTCGACTCGACTCGACTCGACGAAGAATGAAGAAGAAAAAGAATATGCGGCGATGATTCGCGATATACACCGTTGAATACCAGCACTCGTTACGGGAGTCGCGGCAAATTCGTCGAGGTATCTAATTAAACGATGAATAATACATTAGACAGATCGACGCGATTAAAAGCACCCTGTAGATGGCCTGCAGACGTAGTTACACTTCCTTCAAAGCATCGTATCCTGCTGGAAAAATATTGGCCGAGGAATTGAGCGGTCGCGGACGGCGTTGAACGCTGGTGGGAGGGACAATACTAGCCCGCTCGCGACTTCCTTCCTACGTAGAACACGAGCGAGTAAACGCGAATACTACCGGCATCGCGTAGAAACTTGGCTTGGTAGTGGTTTCATTCATAAAGTCACGCGTTTCGCGAGGAAACGTTTGCACGCGTTAACGAGAGAAACGTATCGCGGTGCGCGCCGCGTAAACAGCTTAAAACGTCCTCCGGAACTTATTTCCGTCGTAGAGCTACTTAGCTATCGGCATGCTTAAATAGAGAATCACCGCGATTACTTGGAACCAGTTACGTAGATTCAATTCCAACAACTAAGCGTAATACGCGCGGTCTTGGATCTTGCTTTTCAAAGTGCGCTGACCCTTCAGGCTTGGGCGGAACTCCTTCGCTTCCGGTGTTGTTCCGTCGCTGCTATTTCTATATATAAACCCACACGCTTTTGTTGCCGAACACCTACGGCACCAACCATCTTCTATGTGCCACCGTCCCCACTGCTATTTCCTCGATCGCGACCTCCTTTTTTCTTTCTTTTTAGTTTCTCCCCGATCTACACGAGTGACGAAACGCGAGAAACTATCTCGAACAGACACGAGTATTGGAAACAATCCGCGAGATATATTACTAAAGTAAGTGTGTACTCACGACAAGTGTACGAAGAAGATGGTTCCTCGAGATACCCTCGGATGATCGGCGTAAAGAAATCCTCCGAAATTGCTCTAATGGACGGACAGCTATTGTAAATATACACGTGTATTTGACGTAACACCGTTTACTCTTTCCTTCGTTTGTCCGTTTATTTGGCAAAGGTTCGCTACAAGATAGTGTCGTACAATTGACATCTTCCTACGACTTCCTGCACTAGCTAGAGACCGATGATTATTTTTTGTCGAAAGTTCGTTGGCACGGTGGGAAATGGTGGGAGA